TACAGAAAAAGCATATTAAGAGCAAAAGAATTATTATCAGTAGTGTCTTTGCTAGAGCCATGGGTAGCAATTATAATGATAACAATATCATTTATAATATCAATAAATGCTCCCTAAGCACTTCCTTCCTGAAAAATGACAAGAGGCTATTAAATATTTTTTTGGTGATGACAGTGTTTTTTGTAAGTATTTTAGTAAATCAAGGAATAAGCAGCCAAACCTACCAAACCCACCCCTTTTTGATGATCAGCCAGTTCAGACACCTTTGAGATGACCCTGGCAGAGTTGGCAGAGGAGATAGCTTATGTATTGCTGTGAATATTAACGCATCTTTTCATTCCACTGAAATTCCAAAAAGATGGAACTACTGTATGTGAGATAAGACTGTTTGAGGTGCAGAAGCTGGAGAGCTGACATCTATCACTCTGAAGAAAATAATACAAAAGCTTATATGAAACTCATTTGGTGAAGACTGTAAATATAATTAACGCCAATCAAAACTGTCTCTGGAAAAGGGGCCTTGTCAAACAAACCATATTTCCTCTTTAAGGAGAAAACTATTTTGGTTGGAAAATGCACTGATAAGTGTAGCAGAATTGCCTAAAGTGCTTGCTTTTATACTGCACACCTTTCTGGCTAAAAATACAACACTACAGAACATCAATACACCCTGCCACATAACTGACACGTTTTGTTTATGAGGAAATCGCAGATTTGGGAAGCAAATATAAACCCATTGATACAGGCAGAGATATATCTGCTGATAACAAGAGCAAAATGTAGGTGAACATGATATGTGATGGTCAGAGTGTATGGTTCAATTACAGTTTGACTTACAGTCCCTCTGCACCCCTCCTAGCCTTATGCTCCTCAAATATAGATCTTCTCTAACACCCAGTAGGGAACTCCAGAAATTCTACTTGACTTGCTACAGCAAAGATCCTGCAAAAAAAAAAAGATATTACAGCCCTATAAATAGCAGCTGTTATCCTACAGAGTGGTGCAAAATAGAGACAGAAAGCGAGAGGTTCTGGGGTTGTCATCTCCATCCGGGATATCTGAGGGCTTAAAGAGTATTTCCAAGCAGCTATGACTAGTGTTGTTTTGAGCTGTGCTCTCAAGACAATAGTGCCCCAATGGTGCTGGTATCTCCCAAGGGATGCAATGAGACCGAGCATCTCACAAGCAACACTCAGCATCTTGCAGGATCAAGCCTGTATTTATCACCAGGGGAAAAGCTAGTCCTACTGTTGAAGCCTACATTCTCTCTTGCTTAATTTCTCCCAATTACTCTTAATTGTGCCCCCAGGAGTAGAGCTCTGTGAATAATTGATTATTTCTTGTTGTTGTTTTGTTGCCAAACTGGGGGGAGGGGAATTATTCAAAGTTGAATGAAAATGAAAAACATTTAGGTTTTTCTTACCATAAAAAGCCCTCCCCCATCCCCTCCCCCCCCGAATTTTTCAGGGCAAACAAAATAGATCTTTAATTTAAACCAAAGTGATTTGGTTCATTTTCTTTTTCCGACTGTTGCCAGCAATGAAATGTAACCATATGCAATCTTATAGCATCATTTGAAATGTGACAAAGTCAAAACATGGCATTTAAACACAATGAACTGAAAAGATTCAAATAATATGGTTTGGAGCAGGAGGTCTGCTATAGATCAAATTGAACCAGAATTAGTGAGAATCTCCATTTCCACTCTCAACATGTATTTTCCAGTGACTGAACTGTTTTCCCCATTCTCCCAATTTTGTTGTGATCCTACTTAAGCAGTCTTGTTTTCAGTATTGATTTGTATTCAGCTTCCATCCATAGGTAGGTTTGTGCCCCTTTTCTGAGCTCTCCTTCAGCCAGTTCTACCTAATTATTCTGATCTCTCAGAAGTCAGTCCCTTCTTCCTATTAATCATTTTTCTTCTTGGATTTGCCTCCAATTTATCAACATGGGCCTGGGCAAGAGCTGCTAAGGAATGAATGCTGTGTTAAATTTCAAGCCAGTGACAATAGCTACCGTTCACAGATAGCTGGGGTTTGCTATTTTTCATGCAATTGCCATTTCTGGCTCAGTTTTGTTGCTTTGCCAATCTCCTTGAAACACATTTCAGGCTGGCAAAGGTCCGTTTAGCCCTTCTTTTTTTTCCTGGAAAAACTGTAGGTAGCTCATTTATAGGCATGGGTTGGAAAAGCACACATCCTGGATGTCCCAGCACCTTCTAATAGTTCATAGCTTCCGAATATTTTACATTACTGTGTTCATTAAAATAATTGTTTTTGCCCAACTCAACCATTCATCAAATTTGCTTAAGGCTAAAACTTAATATACATACTTGATGCTTCCAAACATCTGCGTGCTTAGATGCCAGAGGCTATAAAAAAGCCAAACCTGTCTATATGAAATATTGCAAGGAAAATCACTGGAGGGTCACCAAATTAGAAGGAGCTAAGAGAAAGGAAAAAGCTACCAATGTTTTCCTGTACATTCAGAGCATCTGTGCTCTAATACCCTCCTTCACTCACAATCTCAACCCAAACTGATCTGGTAAACAGTGAGGGATGGCGAAGGATTGCATGCTGGGGAGAATCAGGCATGGGAAGAGTGATGAGAAACCTGTGCACGTTTTCTTAATTCATCCAAGCAGAGCAATATTTACTGTCCCTCAAGGTGATTCAACACTGAGTCCTGCTGCCAAAATATAGCCCTTTCAAAAGCACATGAAGGCTGATGATGAAAGTGCTCAAACTGTCGATATTTTTCTGACTTTTCCATTGAGAACTGTGCTATCCATGCTCGCATTTGTTCAGCACACACGCTTCATTGATTTATGTTGTATGAAAACACCTTAGCTGTGTCCTTAAAACCTCATTAGTGTCGGTTAAATATCCATTTGAATCTGAGTTTTATTCACAAATGCAAATTTACAGAAGTTTTTAATTGTGTGTCAGGCATCAGCGCGATTACAACTTCATCTCCTCTGTTTTGACATAATGTGGATTTAATATTTTGCAAAACCAGCAGCTTAGATAATGCATGGTGACTTACTATTTATACAGAGGCAAACATTTCCCATCGCTTCTCATGTGGTCAATACCTACTGAGAAAGAAGGCATCCTGCAATTAACAGCAATGAACTAATAATAGCCACTGCTGTGGCCTTGTATAAAAGCAGCAGAATGTTTATTTTCTAACAGGAGTCAGAAAATACTTTGTTTAGCAACAGGAAAGCCATGGTAGACATATGTGTTTTGCATTGTCTACAAAGAACTGATATCCAAAAGTTTTGCCAGAGTTATGTCATATTAAATTAAAAATAAAGTCATAAGAAACAATTAAGAATAAGAAAAGAACATCAAGATTTGTGTGATGTTATGTTTTTGGTGTTCAATTTAGCATCCTGCTCTGTCACTTCACCTCTCCCATTCCTCCCATGTTCCGGTTTTCTACCTCGACACTGTAACTCTAATAACTTACCATTGCTAATCTTCACCTCCTTCCCTTATAAATCCCCTAGCTCTAGCTAAACAGTGGGCACAAAGAAAAGCCAAAATTGCATATTTCCACCCCATGCACATGATCGGATCAGGGTGAAGTACCCCATCCTGATGCCTATGTAAGTGCAAATCTGACAGCCCCAAATCCTGTGAAATCCCTTTTACTAGTGTTGCAGTGACCCTTTCCAATGAGCCTTGCTTTCTGTTGTTATTTCTTCATGTAGGAATTGCAGCCTGAACATAACACAGGAGTCTGTAATTACAATCCTGATGATTTCTTAATTTTCAGCAACTGGATAGGTTGTTCAGTAGGGAACAAGCACAAGCTGGTTTCTCTTATTGAAACTACTCATCTGCTTTGTGAATTCTGAATTCAAATATGCTTTTCTTCAAGCAGACCTTGATGGCATGGCACTGAAACACTTTCCTTCCACAAGCATCTAGCTGTTTTACTCTGTTGGGAAGCCAGTCGGTGATCTTTACTGCTATTGATTTATGGCACTTAAATAATTAATCTTTTGTTTTTCTGCTTCCCTCTTTTTTGGCAAGAGGGTTTTCTGAAGCTGTGCCTTTCCTGGTAGCTTTGTATAGCAGGTCTCTATCATCAAGATTAACAGTGTTCCATACTTCACAACCTTTTAGGGCTGAAGGTAAAGGATGAGCAACAGTTGCTCAGCTATCTCCCCACTGAATGAAGCAATCAATCAGTCCCCAAAATGCCCTCTCAACAACTGCAATCATGACATTGCTCTTCCCTGAAAGCATCTACCTTTAATGGTCCTTGACCTGAGTACATCCTTTATTTGACACTTTTGTGTTACTTCTTTATTTACCCTTGTAGATATGATGACAGACACTTCCTCTCTCATTCAAAACCTATTCAGTGAAAAGCAGCAAGAACATTGATTTAGCAATTCCAAATTCATAGGTAACTGCCTTCCTCACTTTGTGATTTTTTGCCCTTTGATCCTTTTTCTTCAAAACATATATCATTATCCTATTGACAGAGACTTTTTCCTTAGAAACTGCTGCTTATGTCTGCAAACTTACCTTTTCCATTGATTCCATACCATCGCTAGACTATCATTGGCAGTAGAATAGATCTCGGGTTCCACATGTTCTCTAGCATGAGTTGTATTGAGTAAGGTGTAAGTCATAGATGAACACTGAGCATCAGAAGAAAAGTTGTGCCCAGAAACAAAACCTCAAGGACCACCTTGCTTATAGGTAGCTGAAGGAGACTGAAGAGATGTCAGCCTTTCAGAAAGAAAGTTATTCATGATGTTTTCTCACAGAGATAAAAAAGACAGCCATATCTTGCCAGCAATACCAACCTACTTCTCATAATCTTCAAAACTATGTGGCCAAAAGGCTCCAATTTAAAGGGAACTTGCTTTATCAGCTGATGGAGGTAACTCCCTTTATCACAATTCAGAGTGTTCCAGGTGTTAATTATTAAATAGAAACATATATTTCTCCAAATTCACCTTGAGATACAAAGTTTAACTTTGTCACTGTTTCCACGACAGAACACTTGGATGTCAACAATATTCAAAGTATAAGCTTCTTACTTTAACTTGAATTGTCCACATAACTTGAAAATGCATCTGATTTTCTTTAGTTATGCATTATAACAGATTTTTCTCTTGCAGCTCTTTTCCAAATCCTTTTCATCTTGTCTTCATGCTTCGCAAATAGTGGACATCTAAATCTGACATCCTATTTCAAGCCCATGATCCATTCAGAGCATGAAGATACGGAAGAATGGTGCAAGGTAATAAACTGTTTTCAACAGATCTGTTATGCAATAATCCAGGAAGGAAAAAGGAGAACAAGAAGAAACAAAACCCACAAAACCCCAGTGTTTTTTAAAAGAAGTAGGTTGAACTTAGTCCTCAGAGAAGGCAGTTGAGCCACATAGCCTTATATACCACTGTGGCGTCAGTAGGACACCTCAAATGTTCCTCTTCTTATTTTCTCTAATAAATACTTCGTTTGCAGATTTAGACTAGATAACTTGTATCTAGCTGCTATGAACCTATGGAGAGTTGAAAGCCATTAATCATGTCTTGCTGTTAAGGAAGGAAGAACATGCAATTCTGGAGACTGTTAGTCAATAAATAGAGACTTTTCAGGCATTCTTAATTGACTACCATTTGTCACCAATTTGTACACAGTAAAATTCTGCTAAGGATACCCTTGCAGCATCGATTGCCAAATCAGAATAAAAAAGAACTTATAACACCCAGTCAGTAAGATTTCTGTAACTCTTTCCCCACCCTACTTCTCCTCATGTCAGTGGGTATTTGAAGTCTGATTTTATAAATAAGGTTAAGAGATATGTGAGCTCGTTATAAATCTCTGCCAGGCTAAGAAAGATTAAAGAAGCCTTTAAAGAAAAGCACCAGCGAATAAAGGAGGAGGCCTACAAATAGCACCAGAGAGGCTAAAAAATGGTGACTCAATAGTTGTGAAATTCCCTGTTGCACAGATAAAGCTCTTCAGTCTTGGTCAGGAGGCAAATGTGAAAATTTACCCTGGGAACAGTCGCTCTGATGCCGAAAAGGTCTGAAATCTTGCAGATTGGGATGAACTTAGAGAAGTAGCTATCAAGAAAGATGTTCCAACACAGTGAGATCTGTTAGGCTGAAGGATAACCTCATAAGGAAACTGGTAGAAATCCCATTGCTCAACATATTTAAAATTAGGCTGGATACAGCAGGTGTTATGTATCTCTATATGTGCAATAAAAAAACAATACAAAGAAATTACTGTGGCACAGCTGGAGACATGAATAACAGTGTTTAGCTCACAAACAGCTTTAGAAGGCTACTAGTATATTCTGACCATGTATCACAGTGTGGGTTGTGTTGAATTGCAGGGGCAAATCTTGAAGGGAGTTGGACTCCACACTTCAGTAAGTGTTCTCTATTTGGATACCTGTGACCTTACTCTTTGCTAGAGAAGATATAGCTCCCTTTTTTCAGGCTTGCAGTTTACTCCAGTGGCTCCTTATCTGTGTCTCTTGACACCTACAATTTCACATTCCTGCCAACTTGTATAAAGCAGCAAAGAATAATAACTTGGTCCTGCAGTCTATTACTCACTTGGCCAGCTTCTAAACTCTTAGAAATGGTATTTCTCCCTCAATATGCTTTGTCTTGTAACTTGTGAGTTTTATAACTGAAATCTTTCTTCTTTTGTTGCAGTATTTCTCTATTCCTACATATCCCAAAAGATCATGAAACGTCAAAACCAGCTATGTTAAGCCTTGGATTTGTCAGGATGCTCACCCATAAGCAATCCAGCAAGGGACCCAGCTGGTTTTTGCAGGGTGTATGTTATCTAGTTTCCATGGTCTAGACCTACAGACACCCAGGAAAACATCAGAACAGAGAATTAGTTCAATTTGTTGTGTTTACAGCAGCAGTGCCTGTGGGAACACTGGTTACACGGACACAGCATGTTGGATCCTGAAAGAGTGAAAGCATTTTGAGAGACTGTCTCAGCAACATGATCAGAGTTTCACAGGCAAGTTAGGCATAACGTGGTACTGATGTTTTTCTTTCGCAAGGCTCAGCCCGACAAGCTTCAGCTCTGGGATAGACACCTTTATAACTGCTCTTTCTGTGCAGCAAGGATAGAGGGGAGAAACTGCGAGTTGGATGTGTGAAAATAACACCTCCTGCAGTTGTTCAGCTGATAGTGAGGGTTTGCCAGGCTTGTGCAAAGCATCACACCAGCTCTGTAATGCTTCCTGCCGCTCTGTTTGGTGCAGGGCATGTTATGTAAGCGAAGATGATGTTGTGTGGCTTAAATTGAGGCGATAGGATGAAAATTGGGCTTTCAAACTTAACACTTGTGTTTAAATGTTCATAAAAAGTTATTGCATCTTTATACTGCCACTGAAGAAGTACTAACACAAAACGATTGAAAAGGTGAATCTTTTGAGTTAAGGATCTCCAGCACAAGATAGCTGTCAAGGTAGAGCAAGCTCTGTAGGGAGTAGTAACAGCCTGCCTTTAGCTTCACACAAGCAAACAATCTTTAACATAATTATTTAGAAAGAAGACTTTGGAAGCAATTGAAGATGTGGATGTTCAGCTTTTTGAGGAAAGATAACCTACAGAATCTTCAATCAGAAATGCCTAACACAGAAGTCTGATTATAGCAAAAATGGTGCATGGAGGATGCAGGCAGAGGTCAAGTTGCAGGTCCATTGCAAAACACAATGCATTTCCAGATCAATGTTGTTTTTTAAATCATTCTCTCATGGAAATATGGGTACTCCTGAGCGCTGATGCTACTACTGCAGTAGTAGGGGGGAAATGCTGCATGCAAACGCAGAGCACCTCAGCTTCAGGTTGGCAGGCTAACCATTTATCCAGCTTTCAGCCTGGTAATGGCTCAGCTCTGGAGCCTCCCACAGCCCTGAACCCTGTCAGCCCTGTGAATTGTGAACACCTCTGTCCAGCTGCCCGAGGGAGTTGGAATGGGAAGGATACACAGAGCACAGCCAGCTGGATGAGGCTTCATGCAGCACACAGGAATGGAAAGGTTTTGCTTTCTACCATGGCTGGTGATGGAGGAGATTGCTATGCACCCTTTCTGTGCCTGGGCTGGAGCACTCACCAAGTGCCTTGGATAATGGGGTTCAGTGTCCAGGCTGGATGAAAAGCCTAAAAGAGGATGAGATTTGAAGTTCTGGCTTTTGACTTCAGAGAAGTGTGGGACCAGATAGGAAACCCCATGGCCTTTTCAGAGATATGGAAACTGCTCTGCCAGGCCAAGTGCTAATCTCCTGCAATGCATCTTGCTCTGCATCAGTGTTATTTTGCTACAATAAATGCTTACAGCAATCTAGAAGCAAATATTTGCCTTTTTTTTTCTATTTTTCCTTTTAAATTCTTTTTACATCTCCTTTAATCACAAAGAAAACAGATTAAGAGTTTCCAAATGCTTCTTGGCTTTCACATGCACATATTCCCCCCTAATTTGTGACAAAGGCTTCTAGAGCGTTTAAGAGATTTCAGAAGTCTTACACAGCAGTGTGTCATGATTTCAGCTGGGATACAGTTAGTTTTCTTCTAGAAGCTGGTACAGTGCTGTGCTTTGGAATTAGGAGGAGAACAATGTGGATGACACATTGACGTTTTAGTTGTTACACGATGTTTACTCCAAGTCAAGGACTTTTCAGCTCATGCCACCCCACCATTGGGTAGGCTGGGGAGGCACAAGCAGTTAGGAGGGGACAGAACTGGGAGAGCTGACCTCAACTGGCCAAAGGGATATTCCATACCATAGAATGTCATAGCATATAAACTGGGGGGAAAGTTGGCTGTGGGCTGCTACTGGGCATCAGTCTGTTGGTGGTGAGTAATTGCATCGTGCATCACTTCTTTTATGTGTTCTGTTATCATTACTATTGTTACTACTACTATTAATATCATCATTATTGTTATTTTCCCTTCCTTTTTTGTCCAATTAAGCTGTCTTTATCTCAACCCATGAGTTTTACCTTTCTCCTGCTCTTTCCTCTGTCCCACTGAGAGGGGAGTGTGTGAATGGCTGTGTGGTACTTAGCTACCTGCCAGATTAAACCACCACACACACAGTGCTAACAAGGAAGCAGATTTCTGGCCTTCCTTTTTCACTAATGTGTTCAACTATGGCCTATTATACCTCACACTGTGAGAGAAAACCCAGTTCAACTAAACCTCTGGGGGGCTCAAGGGGTACAAGTTGCAGCTACCTCAGCTAAATGCTAAGGAGGCTGAGGCAAGGTCCACCAAACTCAATGAGAGTCTTTTTTTCATTGACTTCAATGGACTTTAAATGGGGAATTAAGTCTATTTATTTGCTACAAGCAATAGGAAATTTTCAAACCCTTCTGCAAACCTGCCACAGGGGAGGAACAAAGCCCCAGAGCATGTTACTAAGAATTGTGTGCACTTGAAAAGCTATTTATATTAGACAGTGTTGTCTTCAGGCTTCTCATACTTTCCATTCATTTCCATCTTCAGCTGCAGCCCAGTTGTAATATTTGAGGTCCTTTTGCCCCTTGCCTCATTTTTTATGTTCCCATTTCAAAGAGAAACTACCCACACTTTTTCATTAAAGGTCACAGTAAAAGTCTGAAACTTGGCCTGTAAATTCCTTCTGATCAAAAGTGGTTCTTTGTTAAGGTGAGGATGGAGAAATAACAAGTTTTGTGACTCAGTTACCACTTCAGTGTGTCTTTGGGCCTTTCACAAAATTTTAAGTCCATAACACAGCCATGTGTAGGACAAAACAGGGATGCAAATTGAACAGGGGACTGTATGATTTACAGGGCTAGAATAAAACTCCCATTCATCTGCTATCACAAACAGGTACAACCCAGATCCACAGACATCTGGGATTTTTTTATCTGAGAGAATTCCAAATATCTAATCTCTTGGGTTCGTAAATGTGTTGCTTTTGCTGGAGTGGAAGAGTATGGTTGCTAGTACCTATTTTGTACCTAATTCCCATATGGATCTCCAGATTACTTGTCAGCATTCTCCTTCTGACATTGCCTGAGTGCCTCAGTCATTTACACAAAACACCCATGAGTGTGTGGTGAGTCCAGATCTGGGACTTGTTCTTCCTGAGAAGGAAACCAGAGAGCAATCTAACAGGCTTGCAGTGTGAGAATGAGATCAAAGCACTGGAGTGCAGAAAGAACTCTACAAATCAACCTGCTGAACCCAAAATTGAATTGTTACAGCACTTCTCCAGGTTCAATTTTGTTCTGTGTTTGAAGGGATTTGAACTTTCTTCTCCTATGAGAATACTCTAGCAAACCACCAGGCTGTAAGTGGAGAAACACAGCAGTATAAGAAAAGACATGTTTGTAGTTCTTATTTAACCTTGCCTTCATTGAGTAAATAGCTCAAAATGATGAGGTTGGAATTTGTTAAGGTGTTGAAATAATTTTTTGATGCTGAACTGCTGTGTGGTCCAATGAAAACTTTATTCTCAGAAAACAGCAGAAGATCTGCAAGGAAGATTAAGGCCAGGTTGGACAGAGCCTTGGCAACATAGTCTGGTGTGAGGCATTCCTGCCCGTGGCAGAAGCTCTTCCCTGGGAGGGTGCTGAGGCGCTGGCCCAGGGTGCCCAGAGAAGCTGTGGCTGCCCCATCCCTGGCAGTGTTCAAGGCCAGGTTGGACACAGGGGCTTGGAGCAAGCTGCTCTAGTGGAAGGGGCCCCTGCCCATGGCAAGGGGTTGGAACTGTGTGAGCTTTAAGGTCCCTTCCAAACCAGATGATTTTGTTTTTCTGTTATTCTAACCATGACAGACATATGATTACTGAAGACAATTTTCTGTTAAAATTTAGCAAAAATGGATCAGATATGAGAAGAAATTGAGTGAAAGTCAACAACTGAACGGTGGTTGCTCCTGACTGACAAATCCTTTGTGTACGTTGCAATGGTGAGGATTTTGTATAGCAATAGAACCCTTTTTCTGTCTTTATTAGCGAGCAATAAAATAAGTGTAAGCATGTAAAGAAGGCTTTTAGGGAGTGGGAATGAATGTGGAGCAGTGACCAGTGTTTGGAGGAAGACTGTGAGCCAACCTATTAGCTTGAAGGCAGGATGAAGCCATTGGGGTGAGCTGTAGCAGGAAAAGATGTGGAGGGAAGCCAGGTCTGAGATGAGAAATAGGAGGATATTTTGGCATGGAAGACAGTTCACAAAATTAGAGATCAATATTGCAGCTGATGTCCCGTGTTCATCCTCCACTCCCCAGCCTTCACTGGCTGATACTTCAAGTAACACCACAAGCAAACTTGACAGCTTGTCATCATGCAATGGGCAAGCAGAGGGTGAGGGAGGAAAACACAGTAATAATTTTCATTGCTGTTATAAGGGCAAAACCAATGTATCATGAAAAGGACTCATGGGAAAAATATTAAGACTCTTTCACCCAAAACATAGTTTATTCTTAGAAA